GTAGGGAGGGAGATCTTCCTCAAAGGGAGGCGAGACCCAGGAGGTGGAGGGGCGGGGCGGAGAGGAAAAAAGGAATTCAGGTATGTGACGAACAGGTGCCGATTCCCCAGAAGAAAGGCAAACGTTGCGTATTGCAACATGGTCTAATAACATTGAAAAAAACCCTAAAAGATCATATTGGTGATGTGTGTCAGTCAGCTTCCTGTACTCTGACGGAGCACCTGGGGTGATCCTCTGGTACGGAGGAAAGGGTTATTCTGACTCAGGTCTTCAGAGGCGTCAGCCCCAGTGCTCTGGGCCTATGGTGTCACCATGCAGCACTGGGGACACAGGCAGAAGAGTCTGCTCACCTCACGGCAGCCGGAAGTAAGGGGCAGAGGTGGGTGAGGGTCCCTCCCTATCTCCTCCCAGGCCTTTCTCCTAAAGACCTCACTTCCTTCTACAGGTTACACTTCCTCCCCACAGGGCCGCAGGGGAACCAGGCAAGGCCAAGGGACAGCACCTTTCACCTACACCACTGGCATTGGCAGCACCACCCTCAGTGTATGAAGTTTTTATGGAATAAATAAGTCCACTCCAGACCTACTTATTCCACGCCTATAGCACTCAAAGGGCTGGAAAGTAATCAGCAAAAATAAGACTAGTAAGTTCTTTAAAAGCATTGAATTCCATAGTCTTAACGGGAGCACACAGCAGCATGGCAGGAAAGAGGAAGTTAAGCATGGTGAAATAAGACGACTATTACAGCAAGATTCCTATAGTGTTTGAAAACCTCAGGTAAAGAGGGTTATCAAAGAATGCCCGAAGGATGCTTACTCCAGGCTTGCAGTCAGAATCTCCCAGAAGAATGTCTGAGCTGAGACTGGAAGAAGCCGTAGGTACCAGAGACAAAAAGAGTTGGAGCAGCAAGGAGAGAAAGGGGCTTCTCATGAGACTGCAGTTTGAGCTGCTCAACCCACACCTGCATAATTAAGAGCCTCATGCAGTGTTTAGGGAACAAAACAAGGTTTAACACAGCTTCAGGCTTGAGGAGTACTGGATAAAGACAAAGTGTGGAGAGGCACACAAGAGTCATATCACACAGGGACATGTAAACATGGTTACAGAGTTTACATTCTACTCTACAAGCAAGAGGCAGGTGTTGAAAGACTCAGAAGAAGACTGCCAAGAACAGACTTGCATCTTACAAAGAACTCTTGGCTTTGGTACAGGGAACAGGTTGGAGAGGGTCAAGATTGGGTACCGGTACCAAAGAGGAGACAACTGTCAGAATTCGGGAGAGTAATGTGGTGGCCCCAGCACACGAAAGGGCAGTAAGAATGGAGAAAGGTAGAGAAGAACACCCAAGTATTTTAGGGTGTGCGTTTGGAAGGGCAAGATGATGGGAAGGAAGACAGGAAGAACTCAGTGGTGCCCCCCAAGTTTCTGGCCTGAGTCCATCTGATGGAAAGAGGAAATCCCCAAAGAGGAGCACAGCCCTGGAGTATGGGAAGGAAGTGGAGGGAAGTGAAAATTGGTTCTGAGAAATTAAATTCCAGTAGCTGTGGGTGAAATACCTAGGAGCACGAAGAGGCTAGAAAGAAGGATCTGGGAATCAGAGTTGGCACGTGTTACCTGAACCCACAGGAGGAAATGAAATGGCCCCACTGACACACACAGGAAGGAAAGAGGGGCTGATGTGGCCAGACACCGACACTGCAGTATGGCAAGGAGAAGCCTCCCATGGAAACAGCAGTCATGGCCAGCAAGTAAGGATGAAAACTTAACAGTGAGTCAAACCGTAGCTTTTTGGAACTAAATTCCTCTTGGTTTCCCCACATGAAGATGAGGCTGAGTTGATAAAAATCTTTCTCTGGGTCTAAGCTTGAGCAAGGGGCTTCTACTTCGTCAAAACACGTAATTAAATTTCTTTTCCTTCTTGGACTGGAAGATTTGCAATTCTGTACAACAGACATTAATTGAAAAGAGAAGGATGCTCTGATCCTGTGCAGGAGATAATACATTTAAGGAATATAAAAGGCCATGGATTTCAGAGCCAAATGGATCTGACTTCAAATCTCACTTCTGACATTTCCCGGCTTCGTGACTCTGAGCGGTTACTGAATCTCCCTAATCTTCAGAGCCCTCATATAATTCCTACCCGGGGTACAAGAGTGGAGTTGTTCCTGTCCTCCTGAACCCACTCTAATCAAAAGGCCAGCACCACATCTGCCAATGCAAACAGCTGTGCTGCTGGCGACCAAAGACTTCCTTGTTGGGAAAGCCATTGGTCGATTTCAGTCTTCACCTGGCTGGAACTCATAAACATTAGACCCGGAAGATGTGGCCTTCCCTTTTAAGACTGTCATTGTTTGATTTCCGCGTCAGCAGCATTGTATCTCTGTTCTCCCCTGCCTAACTGGCCCTGGCTGGCTCCTTCTTATGTCCCAGGCTCCATATTTTACTCGTTGTTATGCTCAGATTCCATCCTCAAGCCTCCTTCTCTGCTGTCACTCCCACAGTGACTGCACGTAGGTGCCTGGCTCTTGGTTCCGTGTATGTTCACATTTAAATCGTCTACTCACATGGCCCTTCTGACTGACAGACACGAACCTCCTATAACGCTGTTGCTGAGTCAGCCTTCCAAACTCCTCATTCTCTAACCCTATTCTTCCTACACCACTGTTTACCTTACCAAAGGGCAACTCCAACCCTCCAAGTGATGGGGCTCAAAGCCCGAGTCATCCTTAACTCTTTTGGTCTCAACCCACAGTCCACCATCACCAAAGTCTGTCAGCTCTAACTGGATGCTGTGTTCGAACTCCCCTGTCTGCCCCCTCTACACTGTACCAGTTCTCCTCAAGAGTGTTGCCATAGTCCTCTAATGATCTTCCCACTTCTACTCAACTCCTGCAATGGAGTCTCCACCAGAAGACAGAGTAATTTCTTGTCAAGGACGGCCACACAAGGGATGCTCTTCTGTCCAGCACTTCCTTCTACTTTTGCATGCCACTCGGGAAATGCAAAGCCTTTACGGCCCCTGTCCCTGTCTAACCTGCTTTGCCCGCCCTCCTTCACTGCCTTCTTACCTATACCCGTCTCTGTCTCTGCACTTCCGTACCACCTCCCTGCCAATCCAGAACAACCCAAGTCTCTCGCCTCTATCCACAGTTTGTTCCCTCACTCCACTGTGAAATTCAAAGCAGAAAAAATTACCCTGTAAAACCACCTCGCCCCTGTAACCTTCAAAACCATAACCTTCAAAACCATAACTGCACCAAGAACAATGCCTTCTTCAGCAGTTCTTATCACCCTTCCCTGTGTCTCTTTCTCCATGTCCCTCATTATCGTTAATATGTTCAGTAACTTACTTTCTTTAATCTTGTTTCCTCCATAGACTAGCCTGCAAATTCAGTGAAGCCAGGCCTTTATCTATATTTTAATTCCTTTGTGCCAGCACCTACAACAGTGCTGGTTATGCAATAAATAGTTAATGTATATGTAAATTAGAATTAAATAATAAATTATGGATAAGAAGGGTTAGAATACAGATGTTCAATAAATGCTTATTCTTATTAGCTGGGTATGTACAGATCCAGGTATAATTATCCCAAAATGGATGCAGGAAACAGAACTGATAAAGTTGACAAAGAATGCAAGATAGACTATAAATTATCTTCCCAGACACTGAATTTTTATTTTGAGACAGTGCTTAATTTGAGAAGGTTCATTTCAGTTTATCATATAAAACTGAATTTGAACAAAATAAGTGGATGTTTTTTAAAAACCATTATGATTTTTAGGGGTTATGGGGATAGCTCAGTGGTACAGAACATGCTTGATTCACATGTTTGAGCCTGTGGGATTAATATCCAATAACGACCCCCAAAAAATATATCTTTAAAGATTTGCCACTGTCACCAAAGATCCAAAATGAACTTAACAGAAGCATGTTTTCTTTTAAAATAAAGTGGTTAATATTCTGGTTGGATTAAATATAATCAGAGGACTAGTACTGTGTTAATAAAACCTTAGCTGGTATCTCAGAACTATTTAATGATAACCTTTTAGAAAGGAAGAAGAGACAAAGAGACTCATAAATATAAAAGGGAAAATGCTTTTTGGAAAAAAACAAATCTGGAAAAAAGTACCCACAGATCTGTGAGACAGCTCCTTGATGGCACCTAGCACATCTGTGATGTGTCTCAAGTGCTTGGTGTACTTGTCCCCAGTAAATATTTAAGTGCACGAATGGTGCACTGATGAGCGCACAGGACAATGGTGTGAAATCACACTCAGCTCTCTGTCTGTCTCACCCATCACAAACTCTCGATAGAAGGCCGAGAATTCAGGTTCTGAGGATCTCCTCCGAGTGTCTCTCATATCAGGAGGAAGCAAGAGCCTTCAAGCATAACAGCAGAGCTTCACTCCAGGAGGAAAACAAATCACACCCACACTGGAGAGGTCAGGTGACCCTGCAGGTCAGTGGGACTTCCAGTTACTGGAGATCCCTGGGCAGATGCAGCTTTCTCCGCAGCCTCAGATCCCAGGCCAGGAACGGAGGGAGATGGCACGTGGCAGGAGGACCAGGACATGCTGGCCCCAGGGCTCGGCGCTGCACAGGGGAGACCTCTGCTCAAATCCAACACCAGGAAAATCAGGCTCCCAGAGGGCTAGAAAAAGGAGGAACTTATAGAAGCAAAAGGAGGTATGGAAATAAGAGGAAAATAAAAGTGCGAATCAGAAAGGCATGAAAGCAAATAGTGCTGCACCTCCCAAATGCACGAAAATGTAGATGTTTACACTGCCTTAATTCTCACTTTTAAAATTCACAGAGTGAGTTCGAAATAGACTTCAGTCTTGTATCATTCTCCACACATTCAGGATTACCGAAATCACACCTAGCAAGATAGGATCTGTAACTTTACCTGTGTGAAGACAACGGCATTCAGGCTCCATACTGAATCAGACGGTTTCTAAAAATACTCAGGTTTATGGATTGAGGAAAGAAGGTTACTTACACTTTTACCATGAAGAACCAGATGCCTTGGAGTTTGATAGTAAGATACTTGCTTTCACCAACAGGTCCCTGCTCCTAGGACGAGCAGAGCAGCAGTCATGTTAGGGCATTACCATCCAGCAGCTGTTTGCTCACAATCAGTAGCAGAAATGTGCTCCTCGGTCTCTATTAATACTCACTGGACAGGTGTGTACATTCCGCCTCACTCTCGTGTGCCAGACCCTGGTGTGTTTAAGCAGAGCGGTGAAAGCCGAAACTGCTGCCTCCTTTAGCAAACTCACGAGCATGTTTAATCTCCCTTCTTCAGCCAGAGTAGGCAACATTAATAAGTCAGATTTATAACACATCTCCCTACCTAAATCAAAATTGCAAAGGAAACTTACTGGTAGAGAATTTCTGAAATGACCACATAATTCTGTGACACAAAAAGGCAACAGATAATCTTTGTCCCTAGGAAAGGTCAAACCAGCTGAGAAGGTCATCACCTCCAAGAGCTGCAGCTATGCCTGGGACTGCGGCTGTGAGCTCTCCCCAGACTGAGTTCGGCGGAAATGCGCTTCCTGTGGGTACAGGCGGAGGAAGGAGGTACCCAAGCAACAGAAAGCAGTGTATTTCCCGTGTCTCCGTGTTGGGCACTGTGGCCTCTTCACAGCTACTGTGGTGGCAGTTCTAATCTACCGACTCACCCTCCTGAGGCAATCAGCACTCTGAAGTCACTAAGGGCCCCCCCCAGCCCTGCTCGGAGTTAACTGCGGAAGAATTATGCTTTGAAAAAGAAAAACAGATGGAGCTGTGTAATCTCTTAGGTCTGTACTGAAATATTGCTGACCCCTAGCCACTGCCCTTCGCCAGCCCTTCAGATCCCAGCACAATGGACCCAGGCCCAACCGTCTAAAATTCTGCACTCCTGTCTTCGGTCAAAGAACTCAGCATCTCCTTTCAAAAAATTTTCATTTAACCAGGCCATATTCCAACTCACATTTAATATGCATTTTTAATGCTGGTGTAAAATGCTTAATAGAGACAATGATTTCTTTCCTTAAATGATATTAAATAACGTACTAAGTATGTGGCACAAACTCAATAGTGAAAAAAATCACTGTGTGTTTTAAGCACATCATCTTTCTTCAGAAGGTCACAGGAGTTCTGAGAGTTTAAGGCTCACATTTGCTCCTGCCAAACTTAAAAAAAAAAATCTTGTAAGACAGGGAAGAGAGCACTCACTACATCCTTTTGATTCGGTTCAGTAAAGCAGCAAAGCAAACACGCAGGTACATGTTACTCTGCCCTAGCGCTGCCGGGTTACTACAGATCTCTGTTGCACGGCTACTTTTCACTGGAGAGGAAAGCAAGGCACAGAATTAATCCACAGGGAAACACAGACGCTGAGTGGAAGAGACCTCAGCACTCAGAGTCAGGTCAGAAATACTCTAACTTAGGCTTATGCTCTTATGCAACTGAAGAAAAGCTAATTTTTTGGAAGTTGAAAGTATATTCGCACTCTTAATGTCACGCTGAATAGCATACTTAACAAACCTACTATTTTTGTTTGCTTTAAGTTTCTGTCCTCAACACCAAGAAGCTCAGAGTGGAATTTAGTGCCCATGCCGACCGATCACCACTTCCCACCCCGGGTTTCTGGGTGGCCGCAGGTTTTCCACAAGGTCAGTCAGTAACTGCAAGCTGCACCTCTGTTAGGCGCCAGGCGCCGGCTGCAGGTGCTAAGGTTCTGCAGCAAAGCAATCGTGGGATACGCCTGTCTTCACAGAACTCAACTACTTGAGAACAAGACAGAATTACTCAAAAAATGGAATGCGGGAGGAGGGATGGGTGTGTGGGGAAGCTCCCAGGAAGGTGACACCTGAGTACAGAAAGTGGGCATGGGGACAGAGACAAGCAAATGCTGAGCCCCAGAAGGAAGCACGCCTGGTGTTCCGCACTCTATTTGTGCTGTTCCTTATTTTAAAGAATGCCTATTTTTTTCTTTATTGAAAGTTCTGTCCAATGCTTTGGGAGAAAGGATTATCCGTGTCACCGATACTGCAGAGAAGCAGCCGCCTGCCTTGAAAGCGCAAGGTCCTGAGTTCAATTCCCGGTACCAACAACAACAAATACTGCAGAGCACTGAGGACACCGCCTTTCAAAGGAGATTTTTCTGATTAGATGTTGCAGTGAGCACTTAACTCTCCTTGCTACACCCCCTCCTCCATTTCTTCTGTTTATTATAGCTTCAGACACTAACTTCCTAAAAGCAACTTAGGGCACCTAAGGAAAGAACGGAGGGAGAGAAGAAGGGACAGAAAACTGCTCTGGGGAAAGGATCCACCTTAAGGAAATCAAGCTCGTAGGCATAGTCTCCAGTCTACAGTGGCTTCTGCTTTGATGAGCCAAGTAGTTCTTTTGGGGGGGGGGGTTGCTGGGGATTGAACTCGGGTCCTTGAGCTTGAGCAGCAGGCAGCGAAACCACTGAGCTAAATCCCCAGCCCAGCTTCTGCTTTGAATCTGCAAACCCACTGGTAACTGTATCCAGCATTTGACAGTTTAGGCTACCAGGTATCCTTACGGTTTACATTTACGCTACTTTGTAGGCTTAGTGCACACATCTGCTTTCACAGTGGCTTCTCTGGAGTGAAGCCCACATCGCACGCACACCCACCCAGGGAGGACAGCGCTAGCTGTCCGATGGTGACGTCATAGAAACGACCACAACAAGCAGTGGACAGTCGTCCTGTTCTAGGTGTCCATTTCCCGACAAAGCGCAGAGACCTCGCTCCTGGCCTCTCCCACGCAGTGTGTATCACCTCAGCCATCTGAGCCAAGAGACTGTTCCTGTAACTCCCATTCTGTCTAAGCTTCCATTTGCGTTTTCATTTGTGCACAATACCCACTTTCAGTCTGGACTCAAGCTGGGGTCAGCCACAAAACGGAGCAGCCGCACAGCGAGCAGGCCTGTTCGGCTCGCTTCAGCCCGTGACCCACCCTCCACACGGAAACTACCAGATTTGGACCTAGACACCCTCGGGACAGACAGCAACGCGGATGCGCAGAGCAAGCGAGGCGCACGTGAGGCTCTCCGCTCGGCACGGACAGTGGAGTCTCCGAGCAGAGGCCACGGGATGTGGGCGGGCTTCCCGGGGCTGGCACCTAACCGACCACTCAGGCTTTGGAAAGACGAACAGGCCTGGACGACCAGACATGGGATCAAAGGGCAGCACGGATTGTGCAAAGCCCTGGGGGCGAAGTCACAGCCGGAATGCGGCTGCAAGAAGGCTGCTGCCCTCGCTGAGGTGGGAGGCTCTGGTTCTCAAGCTTTCCAAGAAAAAAACACAAAAACAAGGTCGCCCACAGGTGGGCGGGAGGAAAGTGCCACCAGCTCCACCACCGCTGGCTCGGTTCAACCTCTCTGCCTCCCCTTGCCTTGTTTTGCTCTTTTTGTTCTGTTTCTGCTCTCTTAAAGAAATAAAGTACTGGGCTGGCTTTAAAAGCCGAGTGCAGAAAAGTGCTTCCGTTCTACTTTGGAGAAAGAAAACCGAAAAGTGGGCCAGAACCAAGGAATACTTCTAAACTTCTCTGGAACATACAAAGGAAGCAAATTTTAAAAATCCGGAATCAGGGCTTGAGCTGTTCATTCCAGCCCTTCTCTGCCCAGCTCCATAAATATTAGTCTTATGCCCGCGGTCTGTCAGTTTCTGGGACTCCGGGCCAGTGAGGCGGTCTCTCCCTGCGCGGAGCAAGCTCTTGCTCGCAATCTGGTAAAAGAACAAGCAGAGGGCGAGGGCGATGCAACGCATCCCTTGTTCCTTTCAGCGCTGCCAGCCCAAACCCGAACCTGACGGCAGCTCCATTGCAATCGGGCACGCCGGCGAGGGCGAACACCCAGTAACGGCCAGGGCCGGGGGCGGGGGCGGGGGCGCGGCTCACCTGCGCGCTCAGGTAGGCTTGGAGGCACTCTCCGCACAAGGCCTTCCCGCAGCAGGGCAGGGGTTCGATGGGCTTGTCTTCCAGGCACACGCGGCACAGGAGCACCGCGAGGGGCGCGCGGGGGCCCGCGACCCCGCCCGGGCCGGCGGAGGGCGGCGCGCCCAGCAGGCCGGCCACGGAGAAGGGCTCGGGCACCGGGTGCGGGTCCAGCTCGGGGCCGCGGGGCGCCGGGGGCCGGGGGCTAGGCAGCGAGGCCGGGGAGCTGGCGCGGCGTGGGGCGGCCGGGGCGGGGTCGGGGCCGCGGGGCAGC